CGGCCGGTAGGACGGCAAAGGGATCGATGCGAATAAGGTGAGCCAAGTGTTCCGTTAACAACGAGAGCTGAGAGAAGCAGCACATCGTAAGCAGACCTTGCAGAATAAGGGCTCGACGGGGATGGGAGGACGAGGAGAAGCTAGACCAAACGGCATTCACGGCTTGCCTTTCTTCCAGTGGTAATTTATCCAGTGCCTAAAGAAGAGATTAGATATACAATGATTCAAAAGGCAAAAGGATACGCACTTGCTGAAGCTTGATATTGGTGCCTTCGTCAGCCATCCGTTGGTGACGAACACATAGTTTACGAGGAGTTGCGGGATCTGGTACGGAAGGTGGGGAGATCATTTCAACACTGGGCAGAGGAGGCCTCGGTGTAACAGTAGAAGATGCTAAACGAGGTGCTGGAAGCGTGTCGCATAACTGGTTGGCGTTTGGGTCCGCCATGAAGATGAGAATTGGGAGCAAAGAAGGATTGAAGTCTCTGCGGGCATGAGATCAAGGGCCACAACTCTGGGATCATTCTTCGACACTCTTACGCCATCACATGCGAATCCATGCCAATCGTTCGTGTTTGTGGGGAATATACTATACACATTTGCTGTTTCGCACGAAGCAATTAACAAGCAGCCGTTGCTCTTTACACTTTTGGCGAAATACAGAAATGCAAAAAAAAAAAAATCCTCATCACGGCGTGCTCTCTCAAAACTATGCAGTCACTCAGAAATCGTCAAGCCGTCAAGAACAATCGTCCACTCCTCCAGGCAGCCAGCTCCTGAGAAAAAGATGCTAGGTGCCCCAGTTTCCGTCATTAGTCCAGCGTGATTTTCAAGTCATCCAACGGTATAGGAACGAAGGAGTCGAGTACAATTCCTCTTTGCGCCAGTTCTCCCTCAAAGTGTGGTGGGACAAGTCGTCGGATGAGGTCGGGTCGAACAGACAGTTCTAAAAGAAAACAAGGTTGAGTCTCGGAGTAAATTATAAAAGACTATTGCTGACCTTCTCGTGTGAAATCAAACAGACGAGGGAACTCCTTTCCGTTTGGCATACGAGCGCCTTCTTGACGCAGCTCGTCGAAGAATGGATGGATCATGGCTTCTACAGCACTCAAGCGCGCATGAGGTGTGTACTCCAATAGTTTTGCTACCAGGTCAATTGCCTCTTGGGATGTCCGGGGTCGGAAGACCTGAAAAAAGAAGAAACAATTGTGATAAGATATCAAGGTACGGAGGTGACGTCGCAGGGTAAACAAACCTTCGCGAAAGGGTGGGGTTTGATTTGAGGGAATTTGTGTTCCATGTAGTTGGGGTTCATGGTCTTAATTTGCTCTCGTGACGGAGTGCCCAATATCTTGATGATTTCGACAAGCTGGTCGATGCCGCTTTCACCCGGAAAGAGTGGCTGCCCCAGGATCAGTTCCGCCATCACACACCCAGTCGACCAAATGTCTGACAAATTGAGTGAGCTGCTCGCTAGCCCATAGGAATGGGAGATCGCTTACCGATGTTGGTGGTGTAATTGGTGGCACCAAAGATGAGCTCCGGCGCGCGATAGTACCGTGAGCAGATGTAGCTGACGTTAGGCTCGCCAGCGACTAGGATTTTAGCGGACCCAAAGTCGCAGAGCTTGAGAACGCCAGTTGTTGGATTGAGGAGGAGATTCTGGGGTTTGATATCTCGATGGCAAATGCCGACGGAGTGGATGTAGGCTAGGGAGCGCAGGAGTTGGTACATGTACAGTTTGATTTGAAGCATCGGCATTGGCTGCTTGAGCTTGGCATAGTGGCGACTAGCCCGATAGACTGTTTCGGGAACATATTCGAGCATCAAGTTGAGATACACTTCGTCCTTCTGCAAAAAAACAGAAAGATCAGCCCCTCCCTTCGATTTCATGCGGGGGAAAACGGACCTTGCTGTCTCCACTCGAATAAAAGAAAGCCTTGAGGTCGACGACATTCGGATGACCTACTAGTCGCATAATCTGTAGCTCACGATTCTAGACAAAATTAGGGCCAGAGCTGAAAAAAAACCTCCAAGGGTGGAGGGGCCAGACGGACCTTGAACCGCTTGTCTTGCAACACCTTCTTGATGGCGATGTCCTCGTTCTCCTTCGTTGCTCCAAGCAACTTCGCCTGAAATACGACTCCAAACGAGCCATTGCCTATCACTTTGCAGTTTGAGTAGGAGAGTTCGGTCGTGTCGCCAGTCTTGCCGTCAGAGGCAAGCACCTTCACTACCTTCGTGGGGTCGTCGATCGCTGTAATCACCTGATAGTTACTAACAGGCAGTCCTCAAGAGCAAGCAACAACCTACGTGAAATCTTGACGCCATTCATTGGGCCGTGCGTACTCATAGTTCGAGACAGGTTGTGTTCAGAACCAATGATGGGAGCGACTAAAGGGTCAGCTGATCCCCCACCCAACTTCTGTGGGGCTGTGTCGAGTCTTTTTCCCACAGTACTAAGTCCCCTTTGTTCTTTTGGACAAGGCCGCAGGGTACAATGTTAGCTTCTAGAACCCGCAACGTAGTTAGATTAACAAAGACCATCGGCCATTCCCTAAACGCTCAAGATTTGTCGAGAAAAGCGCAGTGATCGATATCGAGGGTTCACCTGTTTTTTTCAATCTATCTAAGATATGCCTTTCTCTCTAATTCCAACCCACAATCTATATTGTAACGGCGCTGACACTAGACACAACCCTAATCTTATATTTCCCTCCTTAGGGTGCTGGAGATTCTTTCCAGGCATAAGGTGACCGCATCCGAATAAATGCTCCATATTTCTGTTTGTGCACACGATCAGGTCAAAAACACTCAAGTGACGGGAGACAAGACCAAAAAAACTGACATAAAATAGGAATGGCAGTGGCGTGCATAGAAGTGCAAGAAAGCCGAACACACTAATCCCCCACTCGTCTCCAAGCTGACCAAGCATCCGTCCTGTGACTGCTGGAAACGCTGCCCCACACAAAGAACGAAAAACAATGGTCGCCGCAATAGCGGAAGCAAAATATATTCCATATACATCCATCATATATGCTGTAATAGGGAAAACTCAAATCCGTCAGTTTTGAGATTGAAGGAGAAATGGCATGAATGGATCGCACCGTTCACTGTCTGCATGATCTGAGCGAGACACATGCCAAAAGGGACACCGGCAAGGACAGGCGCAATCCAATGTATAGATGGGGAGGTCGTCCAGGCTAGCCAGAAAAGGGATATCGGAGAGATGATCCCAGCAAACATGGCGAGGTGAAGACGCCTGCCATTAAAGGTCAATTGCAAGTCCACTGGCTGAAGGAAGGCAGACTCAACGCTTCAGGAGGCGCACGTCCCGTGGGACTTTCTCGCATCGCTTTCCAGTATATCCGATTTTGAATAGGCGCAGTCCAGGTCCCCATCATTGTCCCAACACCCATACCGAGGAAGCAGAGACCACCTTTTCCAGCATCGAAGCCTCGATGGTCTTGAAAAATGATAGGATATGCTCCAAAGAACGCATACATGATACCATAAACAATGGCAACATCTAGCCGCCTCATTAGGGTACATTAATGACTCAAGTAAAACGATACAAACATATGGACATGAAAGTCACGATCGGTTCCTTCACAAAGAAAACTAACCCCAGATTATCAGCGACGGCAGTTTCCGCAGGGATAACAGTAATCCGCGTACCTGCAGGTCTACGAAGATTAGTTACCATGGTCTGTCGGAACGACATTACCTGCCCAATATCGTGCTTAGAAATATGAGTGTTGCCCGTCTGCTGGGTTAGTTTTCGAGCTTTTCGTCGTAACAAAACGGGGCCGTACTAAATAAAAGGTCAAAGCGTCAGTCTAACAAAGGACTAAAGAAATTTAGAGAGTGAGGTTTGCTCAAGCGTGCAGTTTCGGGAGTCAAGAGGATACCAGAGACCAGAGTAAGGCCAGAAAGAATACACATAATCCAGAAGTTGAATCGCCAACCCAGACGAGACTGTGAGACGTAACCACCTGATGAAAATATGAGAAACAGTCACAAAAACTAGGGACGAGCAAGATTACCAACTATGGGACCAAATACCGGCCCTTGAAATGGTGCGGTGGAATACAGAGCAGCAGCTAAACCTCGGTCTTTGGGGAGCCACAAATCACTCACTACCCCTCCAGAATTAGCAAGAGGGGAGGACCCAAATGTGCCAGAAAGTAGGCGAAAGATAAGTAAAGTCTCAATATTCCGTCCAAGAGCACCTCCGATGTGGCTGAATACAAACAAACTCATGGTGATGAGAAATATTCGCCTCTGAAAAATTCTGAGATCGGCCAAGTTCAATAAAAAAAAAGGAGAAAGGCTTACTCTGCCATAAGCCTAATTACCCTGCGATGTCAGCGACTCCGATAGGTGAAGGACGCAAAAACTGAACGTGCCTCTCCAACAGGAGCCCATACCAATGGACCTAACCCAAAACCAAGCACATATAACGAAATACCCAGAATTGCAACATCTTGGGATACACCCAAGTCCCTCTGAATGAATTTCAAACCTCCAGAATATGAACTCGAACAAAACGAGACAGTGAACGTATTCAACGCCACTTGGGCCGTTATCCTCCATTTCTTGGAATTTGGCCAATTGAACGGACATTCTGGATCATCAGGAGACCAATCTACAACGATAGGATCTGACGATGAAATGCCTTTCTCTGTATTTGCATTGACGTCGAGAGACATCGTTGTTGAGTTGCAAGTTACGAAAGTACCTGGAGGCTGGTAAACCTTAGCCCGGTCGGATCCATTCAGTCACATTGATATTCTCATTCGGCCGAATGTGTCGAACATGAGTGAAACAGTGGATTTTTAAAGGCGAGATGCTGGAGATCATGGTGGTTAAGAACCAACCTGGGCGGGTCTTGCTAGCATGATCAGCACTCTTTGGGCAGGTTGAATGCAAACTCCTTTGGGGAATCGCTTTCACACGAGGTTTATGCAGTGCTCCAGGTTGAAACAAATTTGATGCTTGCATGAATGGCCGAGCGGTCTAAGGCGTTGGATTTAAGTCCCAATGACAGCAATGTCGCGTGAGTTCGAACCTCACTTCATGCATAACGTTACTTTTTGAATTTTCAATCGTGGTTGGTGGAGGAGGTGAGTTGGAGCTTTTTCGTTACCAAATCATGGAAATGTCGTTGTCATAATTCTAAGTTTTTGTGATTGTGATCGTATACAATTAACATATTTGCACTGTTGAAGTGCACCACCAACATACTAAACCTACTTGCTCAAAAAGTCCTTAATATAAGCAACCAGCTGGTCCGTTTGTTCCTCCGTGACCGCGTTGTACAAGGAGGCGCGTATACCTGCCAAGAATGTCAGTCAATGTATGACTGCATGCGCAATAACCTTACCAGCCAACAGAACTATGAAATTCCATGTCAGCTGGCTGGCCAAGGAAAGAGAGGTAAGTTAACGAACCGATGCCCTTTCAACGCTTTCATGTTTCTTTCTTCAGCACCAGCAAGAAACTCTTCCATCTTGCCCTCCCCAATTACGTCAAACACAACGTTCATCGAACTTTGCGATCCAGAAGCAACTTTGATCTTGAGTTTCTCGGCTTGCTCGCCTTCCTTAAGTACAGCATACAACTTGTCCGCCTTCACCTTGCTCAGCTTCTGATAATACGCTACCCCGCCTAATTCCTTCATCCGTCGAAGGACAAGACCGGTAATATAAACGCTCAGCGTAGGCGGAGTGTTGTACAAGCTTCGATTGTCTGCGAGAGTCTTGTATGACATGGAGATAGGCACTGGGATGGCACCTAATGCAGCAGCACCGTCGACATTGACGAGACAGTCCTGACGAACGATGAGAATCGTGAGTCCAGCAGGACCGAGATTCTTTTGAGCTCCGGCATAAATAACTGCGTGATCTGCAAGACGGGGAATAGGTTTGGACATGAAAGATGAAGAGTAATCTCCAACGAGAGGGAGAAGAGCATTCTGTTGGAGCAAGTCGAAAGGAAAAGCATTTGGTGACGTCGGGTCATCTGAAAACTGTACACCATCGACCGTCTCGTTGTCACAATAGTAGATGAGAGCTGGAGTTGGGGAGAAGGAATATTTGTCCGGAGTAGGGATGTTGTTGAACGACTTCGCGTCTGGAGAGTAAGGACGCGAATCGACCGCGATATGTACGCGATGAGGGCCAACGAGGCGTTTCGCTTCTTCCGAAGCTTTTTTGCTCCACGATCCTGTGACGACATAGTCCAAAAGAACGTCTTCGTCGGGTAGCGTGGGATAGAGTAACTTATGGCGAGCCAGGAGATTCAACACAACGGCTGAGAACTGACCAGTCCCACCACCTTGGGTGAGGAGGACAGAATGAGTCGAAGGTACTTGAAGCTGTTCTCGAATGAGATCGCAGGTTTCCTCAAGGAAGGCTGAGAATTCCTTGGAGCGATGTGAAATTTCGGCAATACCGATGCCAGTGCCATTGAAATTGAACAGGCCTTTTGCAGCCTCTTCAAGAACACTTTCAGGTAGCTGTGAGGGACCAGCACCAAAGTTGGTAACACGAGCAGCCATGTGAATCTGGCAAAAGAATTGTGGTGATGGCAAGAACCAAGGGGCGGGGCGAAAACGAGTCAGAAGTCAAGAAAGAAAATAGAGTCAATTACACGGATTATGTACAGTTACTCTTCAAAGCAGGCCAATGGACGTGCTAGGTGTCTATGAGGGGTTAGGAGGTACTAGAAAGCCGCAGGTAAGTACAGAAACGCCCTGGGGGAGTGCTAGTCCTTCCTAGTATGAATACACTTTGGATCATTTTCCGAGAAGTAATGAGAAATAAATGTCGTGAAAGATGTATAAGGTCGGTAAGTACGGTACACACCAAGAGATGAGATTACTCGTTAAATGCTATTCGGAAATGCAATGCGAGGAGATCGTGAGGGGAGGGTGAGTGGAAATGCTTGAGTCAGAATCCGGGTTGGTAATGCGTGATGAGAATTAAAGGTGAGGGTGAAGTAATACCAGCATCCTGCAGAGCCCTATTGGATCATGCGTGGAGGGAGAAGACCTGAGGAACCGTCGCAAGTTGTACCGTCCGTGCCGAGAACAGGCATAAGGTTACGGAATGTCAAGAAATCCATGCTCTTGGCTTTCTTGGGTGTGCGAGGTGGACTGAGGGACACTGCAGATCTCTGGGCCAGTGGAAATGCAGGTAGTGATAGGACTTGCGGGTGCTGAAGACGGGTGCGCTTGAGGGATGACTTGGTAGTCCTGTCTGGTCCGGTACTTCGACCGAGGCTGACCTCGAGCTGAGAAAGGTCTGCAAAGTCGTTCGACGGCCAGGTAACGGCAGCTGGGTCGTCAACAAGAGAAATCCATGGAAGGTCGTCAAGGCAATGTGGTACGGCCTGAGCCTGGCGCACAGGGCAGCATGAAGACGCGCAGTGCGCGTGTCGTCTATGCTTCACAGAGCGCGAATTTGGGCCAGAACGTCGCAGAGTAGGTTTTGGGGCCTAGAGTAGGGGGTTAGGAGCGCGTTACCGCGGTATTTGTCTCACACTTACGGCCGTTTGGAGCTCAAAGGGGGAGCCAAGCTGAAGAGAAGGCACAGACATGGTAGAGTATCGTGAACGAAAGTCGTGAAGAAGAGAGGAGAGGTTTGTCAACTTCTCATGTCGCGCGGGACACAGGGCGACGCTGGGAGGCGAGAGACAGGCCGTTGCAGAAAGAGAAAGGGCAAAAAGCAACGCGAGCTGTTTGGACCCAAAACTCCATCAGGCTAGGCTTCTTTCATCTGATGCGACACACGTGTACTCCGCACTTGGACCGTGGCGATCCTCAAAGAATGGCTGGATTTTCCTTGACCCTGTAACTACAGTACGTACAATTACGACATTTTGGTGTACATTCCAACGGCGCGTCCATAAAATACTCCAACAAGAATAATTGAATTTGTGGCCACAAGCGACAATGATGAGGCGGTAGTTGACGGAAATGTATTCCATGCCCACTCGCTCAACGCAGCCAGTAAAAGTCTAGTCCGAATGTTAGTATACGGTATAGTTAAAAGATTTGTTTCTTACTTGACCACAATGGGATATTTTGTTCGCCACAGGAGAAACGGAATTTGGTATGCAAACCAAGAGAAGAACTGGTAGTGTAAGGACCTAGAAAATAATACTCCTATGAGATTGGTGGTGAAAAGAACAGTTGTAATTTCTGCGGGGATCAGCAGTCAGACCAAGAAACAATTAGAGCGTCGCGAAACTTGCCGTCCTTCGTTACGGCACCAACACCTTGCCAAAGTCCTCTGGATGAGAGAGCATGTTTGACAAACGCCGGAACTTCTTGGGGTTTGCTCCACCGAAAGAAAAGAAATAAGAGAAGACATGTGAGGTGTCCAATGACTAAAGCATACGCGAATTTCCGATCAAGGAAGAGCTCCTCCGGAATGAATCTCCAATTGACCGTCCACTTATATAAAAAGACCCGTGAAAGGTCAAAGGCACCACCGAGATAGTCGGTGGCATAGTCATGTATGAATGGGAGTCCCATGAATACTTGGACAGCGACGATTAGACTAGTCGATATGGCTAAAGGGACAAGTCCTCGGGCTTTGAAAGTAAGAAATAGAATGGCTGGAAGATAGAGAAGGACGTTCATCTTGACTGATAAAGCCAAACTATTTCAAGGTAAGTATTATGGTTAATTAAACACGATAGCGAAACGGCGAAATTTACAAACCTGAAGAGTATTGAACCAAGGTAGAACCACTCGCTCTGAAGAGCAAGGATAGAAGTTTGCATAACAACAACAGACCAACAATCGTTGAAAAGTCGGAGAACAAAGATCGAGTGTAGACGTTTGCTTGCATGAAGCATCACAAGGGCCCAGTTTGGAAAGCCTCCAGCGCGAAAGTATATCGCAGAAGCAAGGGAGACATGAAGGATGTACAAAGCAGCATATACGAGTTGTGCTCGAGGAATATTCAAGCCTTCGTTGGTAAAGGTGCGAAGGAAGTCATGGATATATACGTGACCAGCTGGATAACTAGGAAAGCAGGGTAAGGTAAAATCTACGACACTGGGAAAAGAACAGGACATACACGAGGGGCCCAGTAGGTCCAGTTATGCTTGTATAATTTCGTTCGCCGCTTTTGTATAGTTCTATCTGAACCATATATGTTTCCCAGTCAATTTCGGTGTCTTGACACTAGTTCAGACGATGGATCGGGATGCTTTTCAGAGAATTAAACGGACAAGGAATGAATTTTAGGATGAGTGCTGTGAGAACGACATCTCCAAGTACACAGAGAGATGCAAAGAGAATGAAATGTTCATGTTGGAACAATTTCTGGATGAGTGTAAGAAGCGACATGTAAATAGCATCCGATCCTTCTCAAGTATCTTCACTTCATTTTTTCTTGAATTTGGTCCGAAACTCCTTTGGTTTCCCGGTGTTATCAATCAGGGCTGTGGTAACAGCTACTCATATTGTGAATTCCTCATTGCACTCGGCAATTTCACTCTTTCTCGAAAGGTAACCAATACGTTCAGAACGCATATTATTACGAGTCCGTCTAGCGAGCAAGTATACAAAATGATAACGAAAGTGAGCAGGGTCCTACTGGAACATTTTATCGTATCGGTTCAAGCAGCTGTACCACTCCCGATCTGCGTACGTTGATCAGCGACATAGCAGGTTGGAAGCGAGAGAACAAAATACCAAAGTTTTGTTTGGGGTCGCAATAACACTTCCCTCGTGCATGACTTGCACCTTGTGGGCAATGCTGGAAAGGCTCGTGTCTAAAATGAGCAAATTTTAGAACATTTTGTCTTGTGAGAGTCATATGATGCCACCACGAACCGGTATCCAATGTCTTCAAAGAAGTGAATCTGATCTTTTCGTGCAAATAGTGCAGCTACGAAATTATGAGCATAGAAGCCTACCAACAAAATCATTCAGTGTTACCTCCAATGCTGTGGACAGGTGCTACAACCAGTTTGTTAGAAACACATCAAATCAAAAATGACATTGCTCAGCTCACCATCACCCCAACGCTCGTAGTAGAAACCTCCCTTGGAATCGAGGAAATCA